ATCTTTTGCGGCGGCTCTCTACCTCCCATGAGGTTCTCCAGAGTAATCGCTCATCCTGACTGTCCATCATGGTTATGTCCGCAGTGATCGCCATTTGTGCCACGTTTCGAACGGAGACGCTTGGAACCGAATGGACTCTAAGAAGATAGAAAGGGGCAAGCGAGAGGCGTGATGAGGATCAAGCAGAATCCCACCGACGATCCATTCACCTTTCAACTTTCACCCACAGACTCCGCGTGACATTAGCCGAGTGGTTAAGTCGAGGGCCGGTTAAGCCGTTTGGCTCTGCCCGCGAGAGTACAATTGTACACGTGTACAGATTGTACACATTCGTACAAGTGTGATCTCTTCAGCACTGCGAATGCGGAGTTCATCTTACAATGTCTGGTGCGGCCGAGACAGCGTAAAGGTCGCCAAACAAGTCAGTGACTCAACTCATACAATTCCTGGAGTTTCAGGTTCAAATTTCGACAGTGAGCTCGCATTAAACACTCAAATTGTTTTAGCTGAGCGCCCCGTTTAGTTGTTGGAGAAGTCTGCTACTGATCCACCTTCGATGGAAGAGATAATTCAACATATTACATTCGAACCCAGCCTCTGACACGATATCAACTGAAGGAGCCTCATAAAAAAAGCGCAAGCCACAGCCCCAAGCAGCCAACATCAGAAACTCGGCGAGGAACGCTGCCCCTCCGACTCGCAGGTTGCATGAGTTGACGGTTGTGAAGAGGCAGAAGGAAGCCGACGAAGTCATCTATCTTCGTGAGCGCCTCGAACACGATAGTCTGCTCGAAGGGACCGCGTCAACTTCTATCCACATGAAGTGAGCATGAGCCAAACGGATTTGACGTGCACGCCCGCACGACGCCAACAGCCTTCCCTCTACTTATTCCGAAAGTTGCGATGCACTGAAGAACATTGAGGATGCTTGAAACTCCTGGCCTTTCGGGTATGCGAGCGTTGCCACCCCGCTGGCCTTCGGATTCGGAACCCAGAAGGGCTCGAACCCTCCAGCTGGCATTGTTTCGGCCACTGTGTTGACTAATATTCGGTACGAGTGTGATGACTCGTCCTTGATAAAAAAGCTTCGGCATTGGCTCGTGAATGCCAGGACTGTGATGGGGCATCCACCAACTTCAGCACAATCAGGCGGAAAGGTGAAACACAGTTATTCGGCATATACTCGACGCATGTTAGCTTCAGCAACGTCAGCATACACACTTCTTCTCATTGACGATATCGTCTCCCGGAGACAAACTGGAGCATGATCTCTATACCCAGGATTCGGCTGATCAACTGAGTAACAATACCTGACAAAGGCTGAATGAGGAAATACCTAAAACTGTGTTTGGTACAGTAATGAATCCGCTGTTGCACGGAGGACAGCCATGGAACTCATTGAAAGAATACCACCGAGAAAGGAGCAGATGATCGAGACGAGGAACGGAGATGATACCTGACATGCTAAATAAAAATCGCATCCTTCGAGCCAAGCCCGCAGCGCAACCGTGAATGCCGAGAGCTGCCTGGACAGAAGTGCCGACCACTGGTGAGAGTAGGGTACAGGGCGGATCTTCGCAGGGCTTTCGCACACCGGTATTCACAACAACGGCACGGCCGGAGGCTCTAATCACTGGATATGTTGACAAATTTCTGATGTCCATATCTCCATAGTCGACTCTGGAGAGAACGTGGCTGAGGAGTTGAGGAGATCCTCTACAAGTTCACCGGGTCGTCCAACGAGCTGCTCATAGTTCGAGAGAGCATTTTCGGAAGCTTTAACCACTAATGTTGCGCTTTGCCTCGGCATTGGGCTTGCTGGTTTTCACAAGCTTCTCCGTTGAACTCACAAATCTTTCATGCTGGCTGTCCATGATGGTAGCATTACAGGTTGTCACCATATGCGCCACGTAACCGCCAAGAACGGCGGATACGACAACGCCAACACACTGGAACAGCTGAAAACGAACCAAAAGCAGTCAGAGGCTCCCACCAGACCGTTAAGCAGCGGTACTAGAATCGTTCTCGAGAGTTGAGTATCAGTGTGCATGATTTTAAAAGCATTTGCTCCCGCTGCTGGGAAGGAGCTTGAGTTGAAGGCCACATCAATATACCTGCAACAAAAGTCTGCCAAATCAGAGGGAAATCGGGGTCGCGCCGGGAGACTCACGCATCTTCGCAGATGAATTTGAGAAACCGCCGATGGAAATTGAGACAATAGGATAGTCGCTTGGCCAGAGCAGAGATAAGAGTATTGGTTGGCCCGTCCAACGCCCATTCAACGAGTAAGAATAAGATCCTCAAGGGCCGGAGTATCATCGTCAATAGTGATCCCCAGGCAATCGTCCCCGTGTGATAGACCAGTCCGCTGAGGAGACCACGGTAGGTTGAGAGTCGAGGAATCTGCCGACTGAAAGTACTCTCGCCATCCTAGCTTCCATATCAATTTCATTTACTAGTTATAACGCCAAAGAGACCTCCAGGCATCTCGAGACGAGTGAAAGGGGAAGAGAACGCTACTTCCTTCTCACCTGCCTCTCACCAGATATCTCCGTTGGAGCGAAGTAGTAGAGCATTGTCGCGTAGCTGACGGCGAAGTGAGACAGCGCCATGAGGAACTCGAAAACCCATAAGGTAGCGGCCAGCCAGTAAACCATCATACACCTGACGAGCACGCGGTGCCTGTTTTTTCAACGCGTTATCAACCTACAACTCTTTTCCCGAATATGCGAACGTGCGGTGACCGTCGGTTATCTCGTGGCCGTTGATCAGAGCTCGCTCAGTGTTGACGGAACCGCTGGCCACCAGCCATAGGAAGCCACGACCGAGAATCTACAAACATTGACCAAACATTACAGAAAAGGCCGCAAAACGGTACCCCAGCCACAGCAACTTTGATCGAGACATCAACCATTGGGTACAAGAACAGCGACGGGACAGCGAAAACGACTTTGCCTGAAGTGGAGCATTGGAATCCCACAAGGGCGCTCTAATGAAGCTTACAAGTCTCCTGGGCGTAGGCGGGCCCCAGCCTAAATGCCTCCTGTGCCTTATAAGGGACTAGCATGCAGCCAAAGGCCAACGCGAAGCACAAGATGCCGACTATGTGTGATAGTAGGGGAGGCTTTGCGTTGGCGGCTGTGGTTGTGTCTCGGAGGCATGCAATACCGAAGGCGACTGATGCAATCACCAAGCCCGCCAGTGATGCCGTTGCCACCACCTGAGCGGCAGGGGCTTACTGCGTCAACTAAGGCTGCGTCTCACTCTGGCATTATTCCTGAGTAGAATAATGTACCCGTAGCTGGTCAGTATAGCCGCCAGCAGACCTGGCCGAAGGGAATGCACGCGACAAGTGGAGATGATTACCGGCAGCCACAGCTTTCGAGGCATTCCTCAGCTCCAATAGGTAGTCGATGGCCTGCTGGGGCTGCTCTGAGAGCGGGCCTCGCAGCACCTGTGGAGTAGATCATCAGACCACCAACTCCCTCCTCACCGAGATCCACCTGCTTCGAAAGGAAGGTGTCTTTCGGGATACAGTACCGACCAGCGAGCGGTACGGTGTCGAGTCCTCGCTGCGGGACCACCACTTGCGTGATAGTCGTAGTGTTCCCAGTGTACGGAGCGTCACCAGTGTGAACGATGTCCACCCTAGCAGGCATGGGGCAGGGCAGCATCTCCAAGGGGTCGTCCACGGTCGGGCAGCGTTTAACGCAGATAGGGTTCTCATAGTTCATGGCGAGTGGCGTGTGAGAATCGTCTTCGATCCCAGCACACCAGTAAAGAAAAGACTTGTCCAGAACGGCCAAGTCCGCACCGCAAAGCTCCCCTGAAATTTTTTGAACTTTCCATCACAATTTCCCAGCGACAGATGGCGCTCGTTACCCCTATGGTTGAAACGGTAAGTAATTCGCCGCAAGTCCCCGTGAGAGGCAGCGCAGGACCAAATGACTGCGAGACTGGCCAGGAAACCCGCCCAGAGAAGGATGCAGTCCATGTCGGTGCACCTGACAAGCTGTTCGTGCCAAATGTGAGTCCATTGAGGGTGACCTCCTCTTCCTCATCCCAGCTTGGCGTTCTATTCGATCGTCGAGGAACTGGGATCTGCCCTCTCGCTGTGTCTCCATCGGCAGTAACATGGGTATGGAACGCGAGACTGCGACACTCTGACCGGCATTCGGCCATCATTATCAGTGACTCAACACAGCTACGCCTATGGAAAAGAAGCTGAGCACGATGATGCACAATGCAACCACCAGTCTGTGCCTGCCATCAGCTCCACATGACGCGCGGAATCGCGACTTCCATGCAGGGGCGGGCAAGTCACTGCATGTCGATAGCAACGTCAGATCGGCACAAGGGTGAAAGCGAACGAGCATCCTGCAAGAACGGGAGGCTGGGATGGGCAGAAAAATTCGAGAGGCAGCCGGGAGGCGTCGCCACGAAGGAGGAGACTGAACGAGCACATTTTCTTTTGAAGGCTCGACTGAGCTGCAGGCCGAGTTGAGAGATGGGGACGATACCAGGCTGTTCCCCGATCCCAGCCCACCCAAATTTAGGAAGGCACAAACTCAGCCATATGTCTTGTCTCAGATTTTCCCTACGACATCGGGAGTATTCTGCAAGTTGTACCCTGAGTTTGAGGCCTCAAATTGAGGGGGACAAGTTCGACTGGTGACCGCCCGAGATGGAATTGATTGTCTTGCGCAGCTCGACTCCCCAAACATTAAAACGCCTTCGA